TATATAAAAAGAAAGAAACAAAACAGCAAATCCGACAATAATAGCGTGGTCGCATAAAATGGCGACCACTTTTGACGATCGTGATCATGACACAAATAATGATCGGTGTAAATAAATGCTATGCATTTGCTTCTTTAATGAGATATATGCAATAGTTTTAAAAAGGGAAGTTATTTTGGGATGGGAGGGTAATAGAGCTCTGACTGCATAACCGAGAATGAGCGTGTAAGCTCGAATCTCGAATAACGAGAATGCATATAACAAAAGATTACGTAATGCAGCTGTTCGCGGAGGTATGCGTTCGATAACGAACATAAATTCCACATCTATCCAATCTCATAACCGCCACGGCACATAAATCAATTAAACTTAGTGGCCCGGATATAGGGAAGTCACTGCCTTTGGATCATATGAATATTCACTCCGATTTTACATTAAAAGAAGCAGTAAAAAATAATGCCACTCTCCCAATATATTGTTAATATTTGTTCATGTTTGTTTTAATATATACCGATTTTATTTTGTATGCGGAACTAAACAATAACAATTAAGTGCAGTAAAATTAATTTTTTTACCGTTCATTATTTTAATGAAAACGAAAAATATTACATTGATTTCAACTTAATGCAGCACATTTCTTATTACCCGTAGCATAAAACTATTTCAATCTGGACGGCAGAAATCCAGATTCAAACCAAAATTGATTACTTTTAAGGCTCTGGGAGGATCTCTTCTTCCGTTTTTCAAGGGTTATCTCAGGGCTTCCAACCTTTGGAAAGAGTTTGGAGTGAGACATTGCGATGGAGCGAAGCGACCAAGCCCGAGGGCGCGAAGCGCCCGAGGGGGGATGGTGTGAAAGGGGGATGTCCCCTCTTAATACACGGTAGGGAGCTTTTACAATTTTGCAATTGAAATGGTGCAATCTGGTGCATACTTTAACCCTGATTCCACAAATACATAAGGCAGGATTCAAATAGGTTAATTGATTTCATGAAGTACACTGACCTTGAAAAAATACAAACTTCCACATTTGTAAGTGCATTATTCCTAATCAACTGTCTTTATAAGCTTAGCAGTTGAACCTCAACCTATGATTATCTGTAACAAAATGGACAAATCCTCACTCAACAGGAACATGCATACTAAAAATAATAAATAGATATATAATATATAAAAATAATATAAAAATTAATAAATAGATATATAATGAATATATAAAAAAATACTACAAATAAATAAATCAATACTGCACAATTTTCATTCTTCAAAATAAGTATACCTCTCATCCAGTTAATCTTGAGATAATTTGCACTTCAGGATGACCTTACTCTCTGCTGGTCGTAGAGGGCTAAAGAGGACGTCCCAGGCCCATTATCCGATCGCAAACACTGAGCCACCCGGGCCGGGCCGGGCTGGGGGCCGGGCGCGATGTACAGTGATGACAGGCCATGGCATCGACACTCGCTTGTCGTGTCTCGCACAAAAACCCCGCTTCATAGTAAAGTGACGACGTCACTCGCACTCGCACACGCAGGATAAGCCAATCGCAATTCACTATCTTGTCTTTGCGCGGCAAACCGAAACCAATTTGCATTGATGGTTTAGCTTTGCGCATGTGTGGTTAAAAAAAATGTTGAAACTTTCGGCAGGGATATTGAATATCCGATATAATAGACATTTTTTTGTTTTAGTTTCTATTTTCGGGGTTCAGCGTGAGAATTCCTATGATTAGCGTGAGAGCGTGAGAATTGGGTGAATTGCGTGAGACTCACGCAGATTGCGTGAGAGTTGGCAGCCCTGAGTTATGTGACAGATACCACCTGACAGCATTAGTTACAAATTTATCGTTAACCATTTAAGCGATGGTTCAGCCTAATCTTTTATCATTTTGACAATTCCCAAACCTCATATTATACACCAATACTTATGTGCTACATGATGAGCTCTTTCTAATCGTTTTTTTTAAATTCACAGTTTCTGTCACAATACAATCAACTTTTAATATTAAAGAGCGAAACATGCAATATCCATAGCCTTAATTTATAAGATGTGGCTTTTTACATTTAAAAACCTAAATGAATCCTAATTAACATGTTGACAATGTTAATGATCTGTTTTCATAAGAAAACATACTCGTGTAACAATTTTGCACTAAATGTATATTGATGGGAGTGTCCCTTTATTAGAAATAGATTTCCCGAAATTTTGGATTTTGCAACTTATTACAAATGTATTCACAATTGACATTCCGTATGGTGATCCGCCTAAAAAAAAATCGAAACGTAATGAACAATCAGAGCATCCAAATACAATTGTTATTTTCAGTATTTTTGTTTGAGTATTTTCTTCTCTCTTCCATTGTATTTACATAATTACTCGTACAGAATAAGAAATACGGAATCTTATAAACGAACACTCTACGTGTCTTTTACTCACTCACTCACTCACTCACTCAATCACCCACTCTTTCCCACTATCTCTCTATCATTCTGTATGGGCCTATAGTTGCCTCCTACGTTCTCATTTCAGCGAATTTCATCGTCCCACTTGTTAATAAAATCACTTCATACTCACTAAGACAGTATTTATCACTCAGAAAACATGTGTTTTTCCTCCTCAATTTCAACAATATTATATTTCCACTATATTGTTCCCGGGTTCTTCTATCTCGGTCTCCTTTTTAAATGTTGTCTATATATGGTAAATAAATATTGATTTAGATAATGAACCGAACTTCTGTTTATACATCACATTGCAATCTTGCTTGAAAGCCCGGTAAAAAGAAAATAAAGCACTTCAAATTAATGGTAAATAATCCAAATCAAGCAAACTTTATTCTTTCACCCATGCAAAAACAAGGGTAACACACTTTCCATAAGAAAATCATTTTAATTCTTAAAGTTATATTGCACTCAACCAATATCTTTTCGCGTATGTGTTTTGAAAAAAAACCATGAGTAATGACTGTAAATGACATCTAAAATTTTGCTCTAAATTCAGATTGAAAAAAGATAAAAACTACCGACAAATTCAAGATCTTGAAATTAAAATTCACTTATTCACTAATCAAAATAAGCAAAACTTGGGTTATCTCGAAACTGAAATTATACCAGAACATTACTGTTACGTTACCCGAAATATACGATAGTTCCGTTACCTTGAAATTGAAATTTTCAACTACACTACCCAAAAGAGAAGATAATTTGGTTATTTCACATTAGCATGCACTAATTTCTTTTTTAATAAAACAGAAGGGACTCCACAAAGTATAATTACAAATTGTAAACTGCAAGTTAGAATTTTGGAATCTATCACACTCAACTTATCAAATCAAAGAATAACAACACCCGTGTGTGTTTTGACATAATATAAAGAGTTTGAAATTGTTGATCGAAGAATCTTAACGTTAATAGCAGAGAAAAATACATCGAAATAATAGGAAACAGAAAAATATAAAATATATTTTATACCTATTGAAATACGGAAAATTTAGTCGAATACATGGTCACATATTGTTTTGCTCCATTTCGTATATTCGCAAACATCTGGAAACACAATTATTTCTATATATGAACCACGAAAAGGCATTCCAACCGTTGAAATTAATTAATTTGAATGAAAACAGAAAATCACAGAAACAGAAGTGCGAAAGTTTGAAATTGATAGGACCAAAAATAAGAAAGTTGTGATTGTTTGCAATATTACATCACTACAGCTTTGCGAATTTCAAATTGGCAATTTTGTCAGTAAATTGCGACATGGTGACGAATAACTGTCCCGTTTGTCCTGTATAAAATTATTACTTTATTTTGTTCTTCTCCCAAGTGCCTTCACCCTTAGACTGCTACTGCAAAAATATTATGGAGTGTATACTCATAACAGGTTCTATAACAAGAGAAGACAATCCTGAGTCATATACATTTTTGGAATTGAAATTTTATTCCATTTGTGTCTTGTAACAAATTGGAAAGTTTTCTGCTACTATTTAACAGACGCAATACCGATTAAGTCACTTTGAAGAGCCCATACCTGTAGTGATAGTATTTTAAACAAACATGGACTTTCTCATTGGTGTTGTCCGATTTCATTCAAACTTTCCCAAGTATGCTTCCCTGATTTTGTTTTGAAGGTTCAATTTCCCTTTAAGAGATATTTTTAATTGGCTTCGGTCTAAATGACACGACGTATTTCCTACTTTTGCAAACTTGAAATATCTAAAGTTTACATGAAAATGTATCCTTCACCGCAGATGAGAATCTATCCCTCACCGCACATAATTCAAAACCATTAAACCCAAAATGACTTGTTTTCCAATGTCGTGAAATCCACTTAACAAACAGAAGTACGAATAAAACTATTATCTTGAAACGTTTGCTACTTGAAAAGGAAGAAGAACCATGGATATTTTTCGCTATCAATAATAATTGTTCTGTCTTACTCAATCTCATCACAGAGGACTTGACATTAGGGACTTTTAGATTTGCACGTCGACAGCTTTGACTGCAACGTGTGACGTCATTTTAAGGCACTGCGCATGCGTCACGTCGTCTCAGTCGGCGATCGAGAATGCGTCAACCTTGATTTTCCTAAATCTAGTACGGTACTAGTATATGCCGCGTGCGCATAAAATATACAGTTCCTCAGGTAGACAAAGGAACATCCCTTCCCTGCTATTATGTAAAAATGTGTAGAACAGGTGTCACATGCATATTCACCTGTTCTACACATTTTTACATAATAGCAGTGAAGGGATATTCTACCACAGCAATAGGCCATCTTCTTAATGTAACCAAATTTAATGCATAAAGTCTTTGTGAAGTGCCTCAATACAAATTATTTCATTCACCTGGTAAGAATAATAGTATTTCAATAGACATAATCCAAACTGCATACATTAGTAGTTGCCAGGTTGGACAAGCATTATGACTTGACCTACCTAGCAACACTTGATATATGCAGTTTGCATTCTGACTATTGAATTACTATTATTCTTATCAGGTGAATGAAATAATTTGTATTGAGGCACTACACAAAGACTTGTGCATTAAATTTGGTTACATTACGAAAATGGGTGCAATCTAACAGATTTCTAATTGTAGTCAACATGGGCAGTTGAGTACGTTGACACGCATGATCAGTCGGCGTTCGTCGTGTTCTCGTCCACTCAATCTAAAAGTCCCTATTAAATGTCATACAACATGGAACAGAGGGGTTTGCTGTGGTAATGTCAGAGTACCGTGCTGGACACAATATAAATAATTTATCTTCTTTGCAGTTGACGTAGGAATACTACTGCTCCTGAAAATATAATATTTTCTTGTTTATTTAATGAAGGTATCTTTTTCAAAATTAATATTTCGTACGTTTGGGAAAACAAAATGCGACTTTTTGTTTTTTACTTTGGGTATAAGCCTGATACCGACTATCTAGCTTAACCTGCTAAAGTAATGCAAACTACTCCGGCATCTTCACGATGATGACAAGTGTGAACACCGAGAGGAGGGTGTACACACTCGAAGATAGTTTCCTCATCTCCTGAACACCAAACATCATCTAGTTGAATGGGACCAGTGCCTTGTCCAAATTGAGCTAACCCTGGAGCCGAAGAAGCGCTCTGAAATCCTAGCATGCGGCAGACAACATTGGCATCGTTGATATCCCATCCATCGTCACAGATAGTTCCCCAGACTCCATTATACTTGACTTCAACCCTTCCCTCTGCTGCGTTGCTTCCACCAGCCAGACGTACATCTAAAAGAATAAAATCAAATGCTAATCATTATCACCATTCTGAATATTTCAAAAATGAAACATACACATTAAGATTACCGCGCCGCCAAAGCAATAAAAGCTGCAATTTTTCATCTATCGCAACCTGCAAACATAATTTGCTCTGTTGTTTCGAACAAAATGCTAGAGTTGTGTACAAATCGGGATAATAGATAGATATCTAATAAATAGATAGGTAACATACGGGACACACGAATGGAATTCATGAATATTTTCATCAAATATTTAAGGAATACTACGTGCCCTCCTAATTTAATATTATCTTGTTCATGAAATAAAGAAATATATCAACAATGATAATCAAAATGCAAATGTGTCATGTAATCATAAATTATCGGTCAACTTTTAATAAAAATTGGTACAAAAAATGTTTTTGATTGGATTGATAAACCATTTTCATCCTTCCGAAAGTGAAAAGGGGTTTATACTTCCGAACATTTGATGCGCTTTCAGTAAGTTAGTATATCCGAAGGTTCATAATTCTGAAAAATGAAGTATAGACCATTATTCCGAAGGTTCGTAATTCCTAAAGCAAAACAGGGTTTTATGTCATTGTCGGAATTATGAACTTTCAGAATTAGAGTAACCCTATGTCATTGTTCGTTAAAAAGAACCTAGAAAAATATGGACCATGAGAAAAACATACCATTGGTATTACGAACCTACAGAGTAACGGAATTTCGTACATTTAAGAAAAACGACGTGTATCTTTGTTAAACTTTGGGTATAAGCCTGCTACTGACTATTTACCTGTACCTGCTGAAGCAATGCAAACTACTCCGGCATCCTGACGATGATAACAATCGTGAGCACCGAAAGGAGGGTGTGCACAGTCAAAGATAGTCTGCTCACATCCTGAACAACCAACGTCATCTAGTTGAATGGGACCAGTACCTTGTCCGAATCGAGCTGAACCTAGAGCACCAGAAGCCCCTTGGAAACCTAGCATGCGGCAGACAACATTGGCATCATTGATATCCCACGAGTCATCACAGATAGTTCCCCAGACTCCGTTATGCTGGATTTCGATCCTTCCCTCTGCTTCGTTGCTTCCACCAACCAGACGTACATCTTTAAAAATAGATAAAATGTTAGTATTTATAACCATGCTCTATAATCAATTATTTTCATTTGTATAACATATGTAGGGTCAGAAGAATGTTAACTGTCAGATGAGGCATGCCAACATGCTATTCGCTCTCTTGTTTTAAGCCGTCTTGATAATGCCAATTCTATCTTGATTAATATAAATGTGTCGGATATCGATAGACTTCAACGAATCCATAATCGTGCAGCCTATATTGTTTCAAATGCAAGAAAATATGATCATGTGTCTCCCTTGTTTAAACAACTACACTGGTTACCTGTTTATAAGAGAATAATGTATAAAGTTTCACTATTTGTTTATAAATCCATGTATAATCTTATCCCATCCTATATTTCTAGTCTGTTTTGTCCCATCAAGCAATCAAGATATTCACTACGCTCAAGGTCAGACCCCCTTCTTCTGCAAATCCCCCGCATCAATTCGAAGAAGGGTCAACAAAATATAATTTTTCTGGTTCCACTATTTGGAATAGTCTCCCATTAAGCATTCGTTCCTGCACCTCAGTCGCATCATAAGAGAAATCTAAAAACTCATTCGTTTTCTTTGTAATTATTATTTTTAGAGTGTAATGCACTTGGAGAGCATATAATTATTCTGTTTGTTTTACTAATGTAAACCGCTTTGAGCATGTTTATGTAAAGGCGCTATATAAATATCAATATGTATGTATGTATGATATTTGTACACATTAAGACTACCTCGTTAAGGCAATAATAATTACAATTCTTCGTCTTTCGCAACCTGCGAAATAATCCACTCAGTTGTTTTTTAACAAACTATTGGAGTTATGTACAATTTAGGATACTAGACACACGAATGGAAGTTATTCATATTCTCAGCAAAGGCTTTAGAAATACTATTGCCCTTCTTATATCATATTTTCTTGTTTATAAAACAAAGGTATATTTGAAAATGAAATTAAATACGCAATTGTGTCATGTTTACATAAATAGTTGGTCTGCTTTATATGAAAATTGATAGCTCTATGTACACACATGTTTTTTTGATGGGATTGATTAACCATTTCTAAAATTAAAATTTATTTGAAGCATGAGCTCAATTTGAACCTGTTTGAGAAAGAGGGAGGACGTGTAACATCAACGCGTTGGTACTTGGACACACCCTTTTTCGAGTTTGTCTATATATATATTTTTTAAACAACAGTTCATAATTTCAAGGTTTTGTCATTCCGAAACGAAATTATCATACATTAGGGGGTTTATAATTCCTGAAATAAAATAGGGTTTATACATTTGAACATCTGATGCACTGTTCAGAAAGTTTGTAGATCCGAAAGTTGATAAATTTTAAACTAAAAAAAGTTCGTTATTCTGAAGGTTCGTATTTCCTAAAACAATACAGGGGGATATGTCATCTTCGACATTGCGAACTTTCGAAATTATAGTGGCAATTTCACTTTCGGAATTACAAACCTAAACATTAATGAAGCATTAGAGAAACAAACCTTTGCTTTGCGAACCTACATAGTAAAGGGGGTGTAGCATGACAAATACTGGTTAACGCCATCTACGATTTCTTTTGGACAACTACACGGAAACGAATGGACTTGATTAATGGTCAGCGTGCGCTAGCGTTCGCGAAACAGACCGAAGTTGTCCTCACGCTTCAGTTTCGCGTATGTTGCACGCACGTAAATACTCCGGCCGCTTCCTCCGTAGTCGTATTATACTCAATCGGTCCCGAGTCAGGCCACGTGAAAAACACGTAGTATCGTCATGCTTCATCCTCTTTAACTAGCCTTTAAACGTTTTTCAGATTTTGAAAAAACTACACTGTAACCTTGTATTTTTATTTTGGCAATAGAATGCTGATATTGGCTACTTACCTACGCCTGCTAAAGCAATGCAAACTACTATGGCATCTTCAAAATGATTACAATTGTGAACACCGAAAGCAGGGTGTGCACAGTCAAATATAGTTTCCTCATCTCCTGAACAGCCAACGTCATCTAGTTGAATGGGACCAGTGCCTTGTCCGAAATAAGCTGATCCTGCAGCTTTAAACGCCCCCTTGAAACCTAGCATGCGGCAGACAACATTGGCATCGTTGATATCCCAATCGTCATCACAGATAGTTCCCCAGACCCCGTTATACTGGATTTCAACTCTTCCCTCGGATATGTTGCTTCCATCAACCAAACGTACATCTACAATATTAAAACAAATACTTATACTTATTAACATTCTGTTTATCAAGAAAAGGAAACGTAACAATTAAGAGAAGCGTTTCAACAAAAAAAAAAACTAGAAATTTAATTCGTCATGGGGACGAATTAGGTGGTCTGTCTTCAATTCTTATGATCATGCTCATCTTCAATTCAATTACCCAATAAAATGATGTTAATGTAAAATGATGTATTGAGATATGAATTGATGAATGAAGAATAATCAAGTGATTATAGGGTAATAATAAAGTAAATATGGTTGTCTATTACATTATTTGCGATTGTACGTGTTTTAATATAGGATTTCCCGGCCAAATTCGCGTGTTTTTCATTCGAATTCATTTACTTTGCATTTAAGTAAGCGCAGATCGGCTTTGCCATGCCAATCAATTTTTCCAGTTTTGTATTTAATTTAGGATTTTGTTCGAAGGGTTTCATAGATCTGTCATTCAATTTAGAAACTGCTCAACTAGCATTCAAATTAATATAAACTGGTTGGAGCGTAATTTTAATCATTCAAATTAACACCTGTCATTCGTATTCGTAATATTTGTTATTCAAGTTAGGAATGTTATGGGGAAGAATTGCAACAAACTTTTTCAGTTTTTAAATAATGCAGTTAAAATGCATGATTTGCCATTGGGGTCTAAGCTGTTATTCCATTTATTTATTTTCAGGACAATGCAGATGGGTGCAGTCAGACATAAAGTAAAGAAGGGGCGAAATCAAGGGACATGGCATTTCTGCACGGACATGTTCATATACCCGGGAAAGGTGGGGGTACCCTCAATCGCCCCCCCCCCTTTTTTTTTTTTTTTTTTTTTTTACTTCAGACTCGGAATTTTACAAAATAATTCACGTCGTCTCTTATACCCAGCACACCCCTCTGTTTTTCTTAAAGAGTTTCATAGTTTACTTGCCCGCCATCAGATCGATGGCTAAAGACATGGCTAAATAATGAATCATGTTCAAATTGTTGACTCTCGTCCCTACCCCAGTTACAATATTGTACCCTTCTTCCATAATGAAATTATGATGAAATTATGATAAATTTATGATGAAACATAAGACAAACAACTTCCTTACATGAACATATACAAATATATGAGACCACCAGGTCCGTAGATGCAAGTCGTCGTTTTTTTCTTAACAATCAAACTTAAATGCTGATGAATATCAGATAAATCTATAAGTATAAGTGTATAAATGCAAGAAAATGAAATATGATGAAATACACGTGAAAAAACAATCTTGAAAGAAAAAGAATGAGTTATAAACAGTGTGTAATAAAAGAGAAATGTATATTGACCATCAATTTACATGTAAGTGCACAAAGTGCTAATTTGAATGTTACAAATGAATTAGAATGCTAGAAGTACACCGTCGCGTTGTCCGAAAATCGTGTTGCGCTAAATCGAATAACCAAATAGCGAAAGAAGCACATTGTTCATTAATTTGAATGAAACATACGTAGATTCTATCGAAAATTCCATAGATTTGAAAACTAGAAAAGGGAAAATAAACCCGAGATATACCTGACTGCACTAAAACCGTCGAATTTGAACGCAAGACAAATCAATTTGAATGACAAACTCGCGAATTTGGCCGGGAAATCCTATATTAAAAGGAGATGGTACAGTGAAAGGTCAAAAAGAAAAAAAGTGAAGAAGAAAAATTGTTGGAGACGCCCGCGACTCGAACCAGGGACCTCGAGGTCAGAAGTCAAGTGCGTTACCGATATACCAAAACATTTCCCATAGAGATTACACGTAAACGAAAAATGGAATTCTAAAATCCCACTTTGTAAGTGAAATATGAGCATGATCCCGGCATCTGATCGAAAAATAAAGGGCACATTTGTGATAGCTTATTGTCTCAGCTACAACATATTCAAAGCTCAGCGTAAACAAAGATAAAACAACGGAGATATTGCTCGCGAAAGACGAGAATGTAGAATCCAGTTTTGAGAAAAAGTCATGTCCCATAGAGAATGCACGCAAAATGTGAAAAATTGACATGCCTCCTTTAAGCGCGAAAATACGCCATGATACCATTGTCAAAATGAAATACCGTGAAACTGCATTTGTAAAGAATATTCTCAGATAGAACATATCAAAATTTGAAAGAAAATTGATCAATATTTACAGAGATACAATCAATTTTTTCCAAAAATCTGCTGACGTCATAATATGCAAATTGAAATTTTGAGTTCGGAGGCCATTATGATGACGTCATGAGTTAATTGAGGGTCAAATGAGACATGAAATCATATCTCCAAATCATGCTTTTTCCAACCATGATAAAAAAGTTTGGGTCAATTGACTATCTGAAGAGCTATTTTGATTTTTAAAATGGCATGTTTTTGATCAAATTTGCATTATATTTCCCATAGCAGCACGCGCGGATTTTGAACTTTGACGCGTGCTCACGGCCTTATGAAAGGTCAAGAGTGACTGAAATTAATGTAAATTGTCATTTACCGTAAGAGGAAATTAAATCATGTAACAAATTTGAATTTGACCTTTTCCGCGCGTTGTGAGCGCGCGCAACGCGCGCGGGGACACGTACGGACGGAAAATTTTGAAATGCTTAAAATGACCTGATTCATACTCTCCTTTAATAGTTAAGTGATTTTGAGCATTTTTAAATTTTGACGCACGCGTCATGACCTTTATGTGACCATTGATGACATGACTTGTTGACCCTTGACCTGAAGTATATGTGATATGAATATGAATGACCTTTGCTTATGCATCATAAAGATATGATGGATAATTAGATTTCACAAAATGGCACCTGGATGACGTCAAGATGACCTGATGACCTTGAAAATGTTCCTGTCACGTCTCATGACAAAGACCTATGACTGCAAAAACTGAATAAAATTGACGAAACCGAACTTGAGTTATCCTAGGCACAAAAAAGTGTAGGAAATAAATAAAAATAAAGAATAAAGAAAGAAAATTCTGACGAAAACAGGTGATCTGTCGAAAACGACAGGTCACCTAATAACGACAATTGTGCGATCCTGACTATTTACCTGTACCTGCTGAAGAAATGCAAACTACTCCGGCATCTTCGAAATGATTACAATTGTGAACACCGAAAGCAGGGTGTTCACAGTCAAAGATGGTCTGCTCATATCCTGAACAGAAAACGTCATCTAGTTGAATGGGACCAGTGCCTTCTCCGAATTGAGCTGATCCTGGAGCCCCAGAAGCTCCCGGGAATCCTAGCATGCGGCAGACAACATTGGCATCGGTGATACCCCATGAGTCATCACAGATAGTTCCCCAGACTCCGTTATACTGGATTTCAACTCTTCCCTCTGCTTCATTGCTTCCATCAACCAGACGTACCGCTAAAAAGGCTTAACGAAAAAAATTATTTTACATCTTTATATTTAACAAAAATCGTAAAATTAAGAGTAACACGTCGAAACAATGAGGTACTTCCTTTTTAAGCCCATCGCTAACAAATTGCTCATCCGCTTTTAAGCAGAAATTCTTAATTTATGGGCAATTCGGAATAAAAGATGACAGTGTCTGAAGTAAGCTTTTACGTATAAGAGCATGAAATTTCAGCTTCAATTGTCAACCAACACATCCATGCCACCTGCAACCCGTCCAACTTTTACAGTGTATTCGATAAAGAACAATAACCTAAGTTCAAAATTGGTTTAGTGTTTAAGAAAGGCTACAGAAAATGTGTAAATCTTTTTTTCCTTCTCCCTTCGTAGGTTTTTTTTGGAGGGGGAGCAGGAAGGGGGTAATAATCATCCAAGCAATACAAGGTCTAATTAACTTATATGGATTTATCCTGGTCGTCCTACAAGTGTTAAAAAGAAAAATATGTTTTTATACTAAAAGTAAAACAAAAACATAAACCAATCATTTTACACTTTTGGCTATTAACAACTCAAAACAACTCAAAAACTTAAAAATCGTGACAAGAATATGACGTTAGGTCTTGCTTTTCTTTGTAAAAGGCTTCATGGATCTTGGACTTTCAAATGGGAATCATGCCTCAATAAATGATAATCAAAATACTGAACTTGAAATACAGTGGTATATTATCAAAATACGTCTTTTTAGAAGCATGATGGCTCTAAATCGTATGAAGAAGCTTATGAAGCTGACGCCCTTTTTTCCAAACAGAAGTTATTTCATATTTGTAATTATTATTGCATTTCTCACTTCAAAAATTATAAATGTAGGATGTTCATAGTTTTAAAAAATCATGAAGATTGTCCATACCTTGGCAGTGATTCAAGGGTATGCAGCGGTCTCCGCCATCTTGATCCTTGACCAGTCCTTCTAGACAGAAGCACCCAGCATGACAGATCTGAGGACAGTTATCACTGGGAAGGTTATCACAGCTGAACGGGCCACAACCTGAGCCGCACTCGTTAAAGGTCATACCCTCAGGGCATGCCGAACAGTTAAATTGGACGCCTTCAACGTAAAAATCAGTATTGCACCCACCGCAGTAATTTGGTCTGTAACAAGGGAAGCCAAATTTAAAGGAAATTTCAAACATTTTAGCTATTAAACACATAAACTTAGTACAAAGGTTGGATTGCCCTAACGGGGTTTCACATACACTCCGGGGCCCGTACGGCGAGTAAAAACAGACATTTTGGGAATTTTCGGCCGGTGTCCGGCCGGTCGCCGTAAAGTTCCGTAAGTTCCTTACGGGTCACGTGCGGGCTCCGGACGGTGCCTGGACGGGACCCGTATGATTTTGGGGGTCAATTTTCAAGAAAAATCTTTACGGGCGCCTTGCGGTGCTCAAGGGTTCCATACGTGTACCCTACGGCTCCCTCACGGGCCCCTCAAGAGCCCCGGGTGATATGCACAACAACAGGCGTCCGGGGGCCATTTATAATATTGCCCGTGCGGGTCCCTAACGGCGGCATCTCGAAATGTACAACGCAGCTTTAAATACAGGAGTTGCGGATGCCAGAGGACATATACAGAGTGAGTCAGAAACAAAAAATCTCCCACTTTTTAAAAGTTGTATTGTTTGAAGTATGAATATTTAATCATGAGTTTCATGATATGTCTTGAAAGAGTTATCCTCCAGTACATTTAGGTACCATTTTCATTTGAATCTCTGCATGCATGACTGAACATCAGACAATCTTTACAAGACTGCCAGATCTCACTTGCGCCAAGTTGCTAGGTGAGGAATAAAATAATGTTTCCGGGAGCCTTAGGTGCACCTGCTCATCGGACGGAGCCCGTAAGTTTACCAGCCGGCACCCTGCCGGCACCCTTACGGGCGCCTTGCATTTCACTCGACCAATTTTCTCCGGGCACCTCCCGGGCGCCGCAGAATATGTGACCACACATGCCGTAGAAATGAAAATCGGAAGGTTCCCGTACGGTCTCTAAATCCACGGCAAGCAGTAGGAAAAATCGGACGAGGCCCGGTTTATATGTGACCTAGGCATTAATGGGGCTTTAACATGTACACTCCGGGGCCCGTACGGCGAGTAAAATCAGACATTTTGGGAATTTTCGGCCGGTGTCCGGCCGGCTGCCGTAAGGTTCCTACGGGCGCCGGGGCAGTTTTTTAAGCCGTACGGGCGCCATGGTGCTGAGTTGCCTGCTCCCAATTCTCCAGACGTTTTTATCTGACCGTTAGGCCGTAGAAAGCCCTTAAAGGGCCCGAAGGGCACCTTCCGGGTTCCGTGCCGTCTCCAGACGGTGCCCGGACGGGCCCCTCACGATTCTGTTGGGTAAATTCTCATGAAAAATCTTTACGGGCGCCTTGCGGTGCTCAAGGTTGCCGTACGTGTACCCTACGGCTCCCTCACGGCCGCTCAAGAGCCCCTGTTATATGCACAACACCGGGCGTCTGCCGTACGGGGGCCATTTGAAATGAATATTGCCCGTGCGGGCTCCTCACGGCGGCATCTCGTAATGTACAACGCAGCTTTAAAGATAAAGACCAGTTATGGTCATGCGATTGCATTGTGAAAGAAACGTTGTGGAATCGATCAGAAAAGGTTGATCATCTAGCATATAAGTAGCGGTGTGTACTGCAAGATTATGGAATCATCAAAATGATAAGAAATTTGGCCCAGTCTTCGTAAAGTTACAAGCACTGTACACAGAAAGATGTATATGGGACTACGCACACGTGCGTGACACGTGCGTTTATCTCTCACAGTCCAATAGATAAACTTATTTATCAAATATATCAATTAGTAGTCGGTTTCCCAGCAAAATTTGTATCATCATATATTAGTCAAAACATATTCTTTCACATGATTGGTAATAAGAGCTTCCATTTCATTTTTTGAAATTGGGGCGTTTCCAATACTGGTCTTTACCTTTAAATACAGGAGGCGCAGATGTCAGAGAACACATAGTTCATTGCACCGCACAGCACCCGCCGGGGTGCCTTAAGGACCCAGGCCGGGCCCCGACAGGGCACCTTCCGGTAGTCATGGGTGCACCTGCTCATCGGACAGAGCCCATAAGCTTACCGGACGGCACCCTGCCGGCACCCTTACGGGCGCCTTGCATTTCACTCGACCAATTTCACCGGGCACCTCCCGGGCACCGCAAAATATGTGACCACACATGCCATAGAAATGAAAATCGGAAGGTTCCCGTACGGTCTCTAAATCCACGGCAAGCCGCCGGGTAGGGAATATCGTACGGGGCCCGGTTTATATGTGACCTAGGCATAATATCTGGAAATGCCACTGTAATCATTAAAAATTACAATTAAATATATTCGCTTTTATTGTGTATCTCGCCTTGGACAGATTAAGAGCTATATTTTCCTGATTATTCTCAAATTCGCTCCTGCCGAAGTATAGAATGAAATGGATGGAAAACCCAAGTTCGGTTTATATGCCATTATCTGCAATTGAGACATTATACAAACATACAGAAAGTCAAAATTATCGTTAAGATTTTATCGTAATTTATCTCCACCATAAGCTTTAATCATGCATGATTCCTGTCTGACTTTTATTTTGAAAAGCAAACAAATCTACCAGTAGTAAATGGCATTGAGACGTTACTTAACACAGGTTACATTTTTTTTAAAGCGTATTTGTACACATTCGACCGGTTTCTTAAAATATCTCGGTGTCATCCAGAACGAAGATTTTATCGCATCGCCATGGAACGACTTGCCTACATAAATGTGCGTTTATCCGCAGTTAAGGAAAACAAGTTTTTAAACGATCGGTCGTCACAACCCTGTCGTTACGCCTCTCTGCGTCTGCTCTCCGATGGTCTTCAAAGAAAATCTTGTCTTCGAACGCACGGGTCTGCCCCTTTTTTCAAAGGCAAACAGAAGTACCTTTTTTTTAAAGTATCCATATATCTGGTTGTGGCTACTAATTTTATCATTTTATGTTGTTTAATGAATACTCGCAAAACATGCTGGCGTTCTTTGGCGTTATCTCTTGTGTGAGCATCAAACGGGCTACTTATGGTAGTCTACACAGCCTCATGGCGCAGTACACAGCAATACAGAGGTGAAACACTTCGCTCGGCACTATTAAGACACCTTCACTGGGTTGTGAGTTCACCGCAAGGATTGTTGCTGGTAAGAAGAGAGGGGGTGTTGGTGAGGAGGTTGTAAGGAGGCCTTTTGCCTTTGACCCGACTGCAGCTGCGCACACGGAAGTGAAAAAAAAATGCACGGTGAGTTGTGACAATTGCATCATGGGACCCTTTGTGGTTGCAGGAAGCCAGTAATATCCTTGGATGTTAAACCCGCACCAGTATACTATACACCATCTCCACTCCAAGGATCAAGTCTACCATAATATACCGTTAATGGGCATGTTTGCAGGATCAACTACTATCATGATATCTGGGGATTCAAATGTTTCTCTTTAACGTCGTTTATATATGGTTGTATGAACATTGGAACTCAAACCGCGGTGGGTACTTATTCTCCATGATGACGTTAAGTGTAGTAAGCTTCATAATACTAAACCACAGAGCCCATTGTATACATAAATGACCTTACTGCGAGTATTTACGTTCAGTTACACATATTAAAACCGTGGTGGGTTTTTTGCGGCGGTTTACCTTTGTGAAATCTGAACTAAACCTTACAGAGCATACTGCAATTCGAGATAGTGTATGCTTACCGGCACTCAGCATGAGGATTAGCGGAACACACGGCATTTTCGCAGGGATTGAGGACACAGTTCACGACATTGCAACTATCTAAAAAAAGAAATGAAGGGAAAATTAATAGCAATGGTTATAACAACAACAAAAACACGAATGATCTGAAAATGATGATCTTACAAGAAAATATTATATTATTTTAACTCCGATACGATAACCTGACATTTGCTACTACAACAATTGCTGCGGGCTTTATTTCGTCAGTGGTATAGGTTTATGGTTGCGATTCAGTATTACCCAATTTTGGGTTGGAATGTCGTCTGGATTAGACTTTATAGTCTTAATCCCCGACCTCTATCTTCTTTTTGTTGGGGGGGGGGGGGGTCTGGACATTGATTTCAGGGGCCCACGTATCCCTAGCCTTTTGACATCGCCTCGTGAATCTGGCTGAGCGGCTGAGATGAGTCTGGATACCAGGGGTGAACGCGCGAGCGCCATGGAAGGGCTTCTCGCTCTGTCGTTCATTCGGGTTTTCGTGATTAGTCTCTTTTTAGTCGCTCGGCGTCTATCAGGATGCGATTGAAGTAGCACAACCTGCAGCCACAAAGGCCTGCAGGATAGCGTTCAAAACAAATCATCATCAAAACATAACTAAGCAAACCTGATCAAAAACCTAAATGGAGCAGATATAAAATTGTACGTTTATTAGTATTTGCTTGTCAAATAATTATGTCTCAAAGGGGCACGTTCCCGCCATTGTAGTTATCGCTGCTCTAGTCATCGCCATCTTGGTTCCGAAGATCGACTTCAAATTTGCATACAACTGTCAATCAAAGTACGCGCGGCCTGGCCTGCCTTCGTCAAGCCAGCTGATCGCTGCCGATCCTGACGTCACGAAAGTGGGCGGAAACAGCAGCCGAATCTTAGAACCGAACTGCAATTGGTATTACTTCGGCACATGTATGCGATAATCGGCATTGTGCGGGCATTCGAAACATGCCATCTGCGTAAGAGCCGTATTATGTTGGTGTCAATAGGCAGCTAGCACCGTCCGCCAGTGGGGAAGTATTTTGAACGCCCTCTGGAACACGGGGAACATGCCACTTTAATACATGCGTAATGGGGATAGTTATGTAACTTACCGCCTTCGGGTGAAGTAGCACAGCCTGATGCTACGAGAGCCACCAGGAGGGCGCTCAAGAGAGGGAGCACCATGTCCTTTCTTGTCTGCAAAACCAACTACAAAAAGATCTACAGCAGATGAAGTTGTAATATCGGAGCTATTTGTTTGTAACTGGTCCTAACTTGGCAGCGAGCAAAGCCGGAATGCTCAAACGCAAAACTTCATTTCAGGATATACTTCTAAGTTCTGTCCCAGTATAATTCGCAAAGCATCATGCAAGGTCGTGACAAAGGTCAAATCAAGTCAATTCTAGATATAGGGCGTGTTCCTATTGGATAATGCACTAGCCAATCATATTGCTTTCCTCGTCTAGTCAATACTCAGACAGGAAAATACCATGATATTAACACATTGTCTACGTGCATGAAACGGGTGGTTCGTGTATTAAGCCTATGGGAGCGAGACGACCGAGTTGTGAATGGGATGTTTATATTTTTACGAGGTCAGTCTTACATGGATGGTGCCGGGTGCAAAAATGCAGTTCTTTACTTAATAGATACGACAAATGTAAATTAGACAAATATATTTCTGCAAAAAAGCCTAGTTATCTAAACAACTGACGGGAGATGCAAAAGTCTGGTAGCCCTAAATAAAGTAAGAAATACATAACAAATTGGCATTCCCAGAACAAAAATGGTGGTCAATTAGAAATTGATATCCATGATTTTAAAAATTGCCATGCGCTCCCATCTTACAGTAACCATAGTAGCTTATATACAACACGCTTTCGGTGCTATAAAAGGCTACCTCCATGTTCATCAAAGTGTATTATTCCTATTATTATTTTTGTTATTATCATTATCACTATAATTACTCTTATTCATATTATTACTTTTACCTTTTCTCTAACTATTATTATTACTATTTGTATTTTCATTATTAATATTGTTACTAATAATATCACCATCAAAATCATAATTTCTGCTGTACGTGATTTTCACGTGTTGTAATACCTTTGACCCATTTTTCTATTTCTATGCATCCCCTCACGTATGCCTACCTGCATTTTTTAGCCGGAAAATTGAAAGACTGTTGAACCTTGATCATGTTCGTTACTGCATCCTACAGAGAAGGATATGAAGCCACTCATATTCTAAAAAATGGTCTTAATTGGTTTCATCTTTCCAATCGAGTGTTCAGATGATCGGCTCTTGTCAGCAGATCAGATTGGATAAGGGTCTTGTTGTTGGCGACAGCTTGGTGTCGCGTCCTGATGATTTCATTTAGTTAGGTTTAAAATAATAAACAAAATTGTTTTATTTCGCGTAATATGTTAACAGCCTGAAAATCCGTCTTTTGTAAGATGAATTATTATTTTTTCCTAATTTTCACTAATTCGTTATATTGATTTTTGGTTCTTTTTTTTATCAGGTCAACTTTTTCTTTTAAATTAAGACTTATTTCCCCCGTTAACTAGATAGGCTGGCAATGTATGTGTTTGTTTCTCTCATTTAAAGTAAAAACAAACAAGGAAACTAACAAACACAAATTCTGAAGAAAACATAAATTGTTAAACATGATTTAGAAAATGAGAGAAAAAAGGGCGAAAGTTGTAAAGAAAATTGATAGAAATGGGGGAGGGAGGGGGGGGGGGTTGGGTGGGAACGACGAGTTCAAAATTCGATAACTTGTGTTCATCAAATTGTTCGAATGGGGTAACGTATGGGAAAAGAGATTTGCATTAGAAGTTCACTAACAAAGTGAGGAAAATAAATAAAAATTCTTAATGTCTAAATGACCCAATTTTAAGATATCAAAAATAATGCGATACGTATTTGTATTGGATCTCGCTACAGAGCTCACAGTGCCCTTTGTTTTTTAAATTGAATACCCTCAAATGGAAACCTCACTCCAATAAATAACTTTAGTTATTCTGAGAGATGCATTAATATTTGCCCATTAATCTACAACATTCCCCACCAAAGTGTATAAGAGTAAGAATAATGTAGAGTTTCTCAGCACGACAATTCGATCGAAATGTTCTCGATAACATGCCGAAACAATAGTCTTGATCAGACGATGACAATTTTGGTCGGCGTAAAGGTCGTGTTAAGAGCTATGTTGGCGTAAATATGGTGAGGTCGGCGTAAAGGTCGGAGTAGTGACCCTCTAGCTCAATGGGGGCCATGCGGCCCTCGAGCTCTTCTGGTGCGGCCCGCGGAGCTTTGAAAAAGTAATTATAAAAATGGCTCACACTGGGCCGCATAACAGCGATGAAATAGGGTAAACATCTACACACAGCTATCTCTATTTCCATAATTTCTTTTCATCATTCGCAACATATTGACTCGTTACTTGGTTGATACAATACTCCTCAAACTCCCTCTCATTACATTACATTAACGACATTAACATCACTCGCCGTGTTGATTTCAGTTTGTAATTTCCGCACGCAGTAAATGTACAAATGTTGTGAATCGAGAAATATGTTTATAATGCCATACCTGTCTTGAAACTTCCAAACTTTTTCTCCCGCGATTGAATTTTCTCATGAAATCTTAATCGTAAACTGGATAGCCCCCTTCTCTTTACACCGCGTTCAATGAGATGAACAGTTTACAACTAATACAATTAGGATATTTTTACTGCTGTGTCCTTGATTTTGTTTGAAATAACAACCAAAATGGCATCGACTTCGAGACCTGCGAAGATAAGGAAAGTTTCTGATGAAGGCAGAAAATTTAAATCAGATTGATCTCTGAAGTATTTCTGCATAGAAGAGTAAGTAAATCACTTTGCCTCGTCACCAGAACAACATAGCAATACATTGTGACACGCAGGTGGCGCAGCATCTAGGCTAGCCAACAAAGACTTGATAAATTATAGTGACCTGTCTGACTTGGTGAAACTTGTCCATCAAATGCAGCCCCAGAAATCACACTAAAAAGTAAGCCTCATTTTGTCCTCGCTGATTGTGTTGTTACTTTGCTTGTTTCTTCAAGTTTTGCAAAATTGCAGGTGTGTATAAAACGTATTGCATGAGTGTGTGTGTGTGTGTGTGGGGGGGGGGGGGGCTACCTACGGTCCACCAAGTTATGCCAATCGTTAGTTGTGGCCCGCGAGCTTTAAAATGTTGACCACCCGTGGTTAGCTGGACGATAGTCGTAGCTACGCCTACCTTTATTATGCCGGCCGATTTACTCCTGGATTTACATGTATCCAGGAGTGAGCGGTAGGGATCTTTTACAATTTTGCAATTGAAATGGTGCAATCTGGTGCATACTTTAACCCTGATTCCACAAATACATAAGGCAGGATTCAAATAGGTTAATTGATTTCATGAAGTACACTGACCTTGAAAAAATACAAACTTCCAGATTTGTAAGTGCATTATTCCAAATCAACTGTCTTTATAAGCTTAGCAGTTGAACCTCAACCTATGATTATTTGTAACAAAATGGACAAATCCTCACTCAACAGGAACATGCATACTAAAAATAATAAATATATATATAATATATAAAAATAATATAAAAATTAATAAATAGATATATAATGAATATATAAAAAAATACTAGAAATAAATAAATCAATACTGCACAATTTTCATTCTTCAAAATAAGTATACCTCTCATCCAGTTAATCTTGAGATAATTTGCACTTCAGGATGACCTTACTCCTGCTGGTCGTAGAGGGCTAAAGAGGACGGCCCAGGCCCATTATCCGATCGCAAACACTGAGCCACCCGGGCCGCGAACCTTTTTTCCTACGAACTTTTATACCTGGCGCATGCTCACATACGAACTGTTATATTTGACGCATGCAAAGAGGTCACAAATAATTAGACTTTGATTATTTATTGCTTTGCCTCACTATTTATAAAGGTAAAAAAACTAAATAAACTGCGATTTGAACCCTCATGGCAACTCCAAGATTCTATTAATAACACGTTGTCCTTACCGATTGAGCTAACGATGAGTTGGTGAAAGATTGCTTTGTATAATTACTACCACCTGACAGCATTAGTTACAAATTTATCGTTAACCATTTAAGCGATGGTTCAGCCTACCTAATCTTTTATCATTTTGACAATTCCCAAACCTCATATTATACACCAATACTTATGTGCTACATGATGAGCTCTTTCTAATCGTTTTTTTTTTAAATTCACAGTTTCTGTCACAATACAATCAACTTTTAATATTAAAGAGTGAAACATGCAATATCCATAGCCTTAATTTATAAGATGTGGCTTTTTACATTTAAAAACCTAAATGAATCCTAATTAACATGTTGACAATGTTAATGATCTGTTTTCATAAGAAAACATACTCGTGTAACAATTTTGCACTGAGTGTATATTGATGGGAGTGTCCCTTTATTAGAAATAGATTTCCCGAAATTTTGGATTTTGCAACATATTACAAATATATTCACAATTGACATTCCGTATGGTGATCCGCCTAAAAAAATCGAAACGTAATGAAAAATCGGAGCATCCAAATGCAATTGTTATTTTCAGTATTTTTGTTTGAGTATTTTTTCTCTCTTCCATTGTATTTACATGATAACTCGTACAGAATAAGAAATACGGAATCTTATAAACAAACACTCTACGTGTCTTTTACTCACCCACTCACTCACCCACTCTTTCACACTATCTCTCTATCATTCTGTATAAGGCCTTAGTTGCCTCCTACGTTCTCATTTCAGCGTATTTCATCGTCCCACTTTTTAATAAAATCACTTCATACTCACTAAGACAGTATTTATCACTCAGAAAACATGTGTTTTTCCTCCTCAATTTCAACAATATTATATTTCCACTCTATTGATCCCGGGTTCTTCTATCTTGGTCTCCTTCTTAAATGTTGTCTATGGTAAATAAATATTGATTTAGAAATGAACCGAACTTCTCGTTACACATAACAGTACAGTCTTGCTGGAGAACCCACTAAAATGAATACAATAACGCATTTTAAACCAATGGTAAATAATCCGATTCATTAATATTTTATTCCTTCACCCATGCAAACAAGTATTATATGAATTTATTATATTTCATACAAATCATCTTAATTCTTAAAGATATATTGCACCAACAGCTACCTTCTCCTCTCCTTTTTTGAAAACCATAAGTAATGACTGTAAATGACGTAAAACTATGCTCTTAATTGAGAATTTAAAAAGGGTAAAAAATACCCGAAAGATTCAAGATATTGAGATTAAGATTTTCCTCTTCACTACTCGATACAAACAAAACTTGGGTTATTTCGAAACTGAAATTATTCCAATACATCGCCATGACAATACCAGACAGATATAAAAATTCGGTTATCTTGAAATAGAAATTTACCAGAACCCTACCCGAAAGAGACAAGAATACATATTTTGGTGCATTAAAATTAACCTATCACAATTCTTAAATGACGAAGAAGGGACTGACTGAGACATTTACCCAAAATGCCATTAGATGTTGTATACTGCAAGTTAGAATATTGGAATCTATCATACTCTACTTATAATATTAAAGATTAACAACACCCATGTATGTCTTGCCATCGTCATAAATAGTTTGAAATTGTAGATCGAAAAATCTTAAAGTTAATAACAGAGGCATATAGGTACTAGGATAAATTGAATTAATAAGAAACAGAAAATATCCAAAAGATGTAATACCTATTGCAATAATGAATATTTTGTGTTTGAAATGTTACCCACATTCGATAGAAAATCATTATTTTGATGTCAATTTTATAATGCAATATTTCCAGTAAAAGGGCTCTAGTCAAATACATGGGGACATATGGTTTGGCCTAATTTCGTATATTTGCAAACATCTACAAACACAATTATTAATTTATATCAACTACGAAAGGGCAATCCAACCCTTGCAATTAATTAATTCAAATAAAAGCAGAAAATTAGAGAAACAGAAGTCGGAAAGTTTGAAATGAATAGAATCAATAATAAGAAAGTTATGATTGTTTGCGAAACGATATAACTACAGCTTTGCGGATTTCAAATTGGCAAATTAGCCAGTGGATTGTGACTTAGTGACGGATTACTCTCCTGTTTGTCGTGTATACAATTATTACTTTATTTTGTTCATCTTACAGGTGCCTTCACTCTGTGGCTGCTGCTGCAAATATATTATGGACTGTATTACAGGCTCTTTAAAAAGAAAAGATAATCATACATTTTCGAAGAATTTAAATATGAGTCATCTTGTGTGTTGGAACAAATAGGAAGGTTGTCCGCCATTATATGACTTAACCCTAAAAAGGCCGGGCTATTTGAGGTCTTAGTACGGCCGGGGGGGGGGGCATTATGGGCCCCCCATAAGATCTCGGCCGTGAAACGGCCGATCTCCTCGAAAATTTGCACGCATGTCAAGTGAAGTGTATAGAATACTATGGTAATTTCAATTTTTTTAAAATTCACTTGTTTGCATATTTATGGTAATTTATGCAAATAAAGTCATACAAATCACATTTTTACCCATAAATCATATATTATTCATATTAAAGCATTCTTTTTCACTATATATATTCATTAGACCATTCGGAATAATAATACGACAACAAAATTTGGAAGAGCCAGCTTATTCCTTCTGTTATCTCTTGTTTTGATAATTTCCTATGTATTTCATTGTTTTGTTTATTTATGTATTCATGATTGTTTTGTTTACTTATGTATTTCATTGTTTTTGTTGTTTTATTTCATTTCTAACTACAATTCAACTATTTTGACTCCCAAAACAACCACCTAAACTTTAAACAAGACCCAGTAACCCATGTTTGATCTATTTTTAGGAAAAATGACTTTTCCCTATGTTTTGTACACAAATCACGAAAATGAGCGATTTTTGGGCTGACATGCATAGACAAAAGGTCACTTGACCTTGTAACCGTAGGTCCGGTTTTCAATTTTTTTTTTTAAAGATGCGCAAGACTCTAAAGAAAAAGGTCAAAAGCTCTAAAGCGAGCGGCGGGGCGCCATCCATTTGCGTTACCGAACAATCAGAAAAATCTTGAAGTGGGGGGGGGGGGGGTGGGGGGGCATGATGCCCCCGGCCTTATTAGGGTTAACACGACACCGATATAGTCACTTTGAAGAGTCTATACCTGTAGTGATAGCATTTAAAATATTTTTGTCTGATTTCGTTCAAACTTTCACCAGTATGCTTCCTGATTATTCTGCCTTCTTCTATAGTAGTTTGCCATGGATGTATGATTTCCCTTTCAGAGATATTTGTTATCACTTTCGATCTAAATGAGGTCGCACATTTCATACCCGTAGCCAACTAAATATTTTTAAAGTTTACATGAAAATTAATCCCTCACCGCACATGAGAATTCATCTCTAACCGCGCATAATTGAAAACCATTAAACCCGAATGTTTTTTTTCCAAAGATGTAAAAGCCCTTTAACATACCAAAGTACGAATAAACCTATTATAATGAAACGTTTGCTACTTTAACATAAAAAAGAACCATTGGTATATTTATGCCATCAATAATGTGTTTCAATGTTAGTAATTGTTCTGTTTTACTCAATCTCGTCAAAGGGGACTTGAAACTGTTACTTATGGGTAAAGACGGGACGGTAAATGGAGGCCCCGATTAGAGAAGCTTTGTTATTCCAAGCACAAATTACACAAATCAGAGGGGTCATAATTAATGAAAAAATGGGTTTACCATTCCTATGACGATACAGGGTACTATGCCATTTTCTGAATTACGAACGTTCTAAATTATGATTACCCTATTGCACTCTCAGAATTACAAACCTACAGAATGGGGATCGATCAGAGAAATAAAACGTTAGCACTACGAACCTACAGAGTAAGGAACCTCCGGAATTATGTATTTTGGGAAAACAACATGTAACCCTTTTTTACTTTCGGAATTCCGCCGAAACTGACTATTTAACCGCTTAAGCAATGCAAATAACGCCAGCATCTTCATAATGACCACAATTGTGAACACCGAAAGCAGGGTATGCACAATCAAAGATAGTCTGCTCATCTCCTGAACATCCAACGTCATCTAGTTGAATGGGACCAGTGCCTTGTCCGAATTGAGCTGATCCTGGAGCTCCAGAAGCCCCCTGGAAACCTAGCATGCGGCAGACAACACTGGCATCGTTGATATCCCAATCGTCATCACAGATAGTTCCCCAGACTCCGTTATACTGGATTTCAACTCTTCCCTCTGCTTCGTTGCTTCCACCAACCAGACGCACAGCTAAAAGATTAAATCAAATACTTATATTATTACCATTTTCCATAATTAAATATGGTAAGTAAAAATTAGGAGTACCGCGTCAAAGCAGTTATACGATAATTCTTTGTCTCTCACACTCTGCGTAATAATTTGCTCAGTTTTTTTCAAACAAAAGACTTAAGTTCCGTACAATTTGGGATGATAGCTAATATACTGGATACACGACTAGACGTTTTACATATTCTCAACAAAGGATTTAGGAATACTATTGCCATCTACTTATAACTGTTCTTATATATGAAATAAAGATATATTTAAAAAATGATAATAAATATGCAATTTTTTCAAGTAATGATAAATAATTGATCTGCCTTTTCATTAAAATTATCAGTCAATGTACAGAATACGTTTTCGATTCGATCGATAAACCATTTTTGAATTCTAAATTGATTTAAAGTATGAGTAAGATTATATCCTGATTTGTGGGAAAGGGAGAACGTGTTATATATACGTGATGATACTTGTGGCACTCCTTATCCGAAGTGTAATTTTTACGAAAGTTCATAATTCCGAAGGTTTGTCATTTCAAAATACAAATATTCCAAATCAGAGGATTCATGATTCTGAAAATAAAATAGGTTTATACTTTTTAGCAGTTGATGCACTTTTCAGAAAGTTTGTACATATCCAAGGGTTTATAATTCTGAAAATTCAATATAGTCAGTTATTCCGCAGGTTCGTATCCCTAAGGCGATACAGGTTTCTATGTCATTTTCGGAATTACGAACTTGTGAAATAATAGTGGCCCTATTTAAATTTAGGGATTATTCGCCTACAAAATTATTAAACATCAGAGAAACGAACTTTTAGGATTACGAATCTACAAAGTAACGTACCTTTGGAATTATGTACATTTTCGAAAATGACATGTAACCTTTAAACAAATTTGTGTATAAAGTCTGATATTAAACGACCATTAAGCTCCTTCTGTACCTGATGTATCAACGCAAACTACCCCGGCATCCTCATAATGAGTACAATCGTGAACACCGAAAGCATGGTGTGCACAGTCAAATATAGTCTGCTCATCTCCTGAACAGCTAACCTCATCTAGTTGAATAGGACCAGTGCCTTGTCCAAATCGAGCTAAACCTGGAGCCGAAGAAGCGCTCTGAAATCCTAGCATGTGGCAGACAACATCGGCATCCTCGATACCCCATGAGTCATCACAGATAGTTCCCCAGACTCCGTTATGCTGAATTTCAACCGTTCCTTCTGCTTCGTTGCTTCCACCAACCAGACGTACATCTAAAAGATGAAATCGAATGGTAATACTTATTACCATTCTCTATATGCAAATACGATACGGAAACAACAAGACTACCGGATCGAAACAATACTAACGAAAACTCTTCGTCTGTCGCATCCTGCGAAAAAATTTGCTCAGTTATTTTTTAACAAAATGTTGAGGTTATGTACACTTTACGATAATAAATCACATACAGGAATGAAAGTTACACATATTCTCAGCAAAGGCTTTATCAATACGAGTGCACTCCTAATAAAATATTTTCTTGTTTATAGAATACAGATACAGGTGTATAGTTCAAAATAGATATTTCATATGCAATTTCACCATGTTTGCATAAAGAACCTGCTTTTCATGCAAAAGGACAAGTCTATGTACAATATATATTTTGATATTTAAGTTTATTTGAAGTATCAGTACAATTCGAACCTGATTTGGGGAAGGGAGTACATTTTACATATAAGTTTTGAACGTCATGCAACCTCCTTTTCCGAAGTTTGGTTTTTACGAAAGTTGATAATTCGAAAGGCTTGTCAATTCGAAACATAAATATGATAATCCCAAATCAGCAGGTTCATAATTTTGAAAATGAAATGCGGTTTATACATGTACTTCCGAACATTTGATGCGCTTTTTTTTTTTTTTTAGAAATGTCGTATATCCGAAGGTTTATAATTCCGAAAATGAGATATAGTCCGGTATTACGAAGGTTTGTAATCTAAATAGCAAAACAGGGTTTCGTGTCATTTTCGGAATTACGAACTTTCGAAATTAGGGACAATTAGAGAATTGAACCAGAGTAACGGTCCTTCGGAATCGTTTACATTTGGGAAAACGACACGTGACCTTGTTTATTCCTTTCAGTACAAAGCTGATATTTACCTGTACCTGCTGAAGCAATGCAAACTACTCCGGCATCTTCATAATGACCACAATTGTGAGCACCAAAACCAGGGTGTTCACAGTCAAAGATAGTTTCCTCATCTCCTGAACAGCCAACGTTATCTAGTTGAATGGGACCAGTGCCTTGTCCGAATTGAGCTGATCCTGGAGCACCAGAAGTCCCCTGGAATCCTAGCATGCGGCAGACAACATTGGCATCGGTGATATCCCAATCGTCATCACAGATAGTTCCCCAGACTCCGTTATAATTGATTTCGACCCTTCCCTCTGCTTCGTTGTTTCCACCAACAAGACGTACGGCTGAAGTGCCGGCACCTAGAATTACGAGATGAAGAAAACGAAAGAGCAGTTGTCTTTTTTTTTTTAAGCTCCAAACTTTAGATAATAATAAAATATATGGTTATTATTTAACTTATATATTAAAGACTGAAATTGAAAAGCCATCTGAGCAATCCTTTTTTTTTGTCAACAAAACTGTTGAGGTGTAACCATCACAACCCTATTAGCCCATGGGGTACTTCAATTATTTTACTTACTAAATTACCATGATATCAATTTACGTCTATGATACTCTGTCTATATTATTTGCAAGTTGTCGAAAGGAGGTTGGGATAGAATTTTTTTTGTAGATTATGAATATGAATATATATTGTAGTTCAACATCCATGTGGTATTCTTTTAAGAGGACTACTTTTGATAACTGGATATTTCAGTTTCGGTAATACATATCATAATCGCAGATATGGAATGGTAAAGTCCTTACCATTTGGGATACAAGAGATTCCGATGTCCTCTATATGTGTGCAGTCATGATTGAATGGTCCAGCGTTACCGCAAGACGCGATGCTATCTTCCTCTCCAGTACAGTCAACGTCATCAAGGATGATTAGACCGTCACCTTCGCCGTACTCTGCGCAACAGGAGAAGCTTTCGCCACCCTGAAAGCCAAGAGAACGACATGCAACATCCGTATTGTGCGCATTCCAAAAGTCATCACAGACTGTTCCCCAATGGCCTTGATAGAAGACTTCGAGACGTCCCTCGTTCTCTGTGCTGCCACCAACCAGTCGGGTGAGAAGGAACCCATTGTCTGTCGAAGAGGGCGTTGTCCAAGGTTGTGATGGAGGAGATGGTTGTGGTGTCACTGATGGTGAATGAGGCAACAAGTGGTGTTGGACGTGATACAATTTAACACAAATAATTAACGTTAATCTTACATTATTCATCACAATTACGAGATTTAAACAAATTTCAAATGATCGTGTTTGTTTTTAAAAAGACTATTACTTTTTAGCAACCCAACTTATTTGTAAATAGTGACGAAGAAGTGTAGTGAAGAGCGGATGTAGAAGGAAAACTGGCTCATGCGATAAGGATTCGACAGATGAGATTCATGAGACACTTGATCCGAAAAGGCGGTTCGGATAATCTGGCATTTAAATGAACGATAACACAAAAGATGAGTAGCGAAATAAGCAGAAGAATGGTATGTTCCCGGTGGTTGGATACTCTGCAGAAATGACTTGACGAGAGAGGAGAGAAAGACCGGGGAAAAGAGCCTTTCGTGAAGCAGAGACTTGTCGAATGGCATGATCTCCAACGTCGACAGATGTGGCAACTAGGCTGAAACAGAGAGATAGAGAGAGAGAGAGACAAGTTGAACACAAAATTGCGTAAATCAACTAATGACAATGATATGATGAACTGTACCTTCAATGCTGCAGGTCACACTGACATCCTCATTGTGATCGCAATTATGGACGGTAATCCCAGCATTTGGGCATTGTCCGATGTTAGACTCGACCCCCAGGCACCCGACATCGTCCAGAAGGATTTCACCTGTACCAGGTCTCTGGTTACCAAGACTAACGGCTTCACCACGGTAACCCAGTTGCCGACACACCACTTTGGCGTCATCATTGTCGAATCCATCGTCACAGACAGTTCCCCATTCGCCTGCGTACTGCACTTCGACTCGACCTTCGTTCGGGGTCTCTCCACCAACAAGCCGGACCTGAAGTGGAGGATCTTTAAAGGGTATTGAAAAGAAAAAAACATCATTTCCTATTATGAACCCTAATGCAAGTTCAATAGTTTTGACCATCACCTATTGAAATATGCGAACAAAAAAACTACGCAGTGAAAAAATACGAACATGATTTCTTTGAGATATACAATAGGATATTGAAATTGACCTTGTGACGAGAAAGTATTTTCGATCGTATTATTTGTTCTCTCAGAATTCCGATTTTTTGGATGAATATGCAGAGAGCATGTATTTTGCCCATGGCGTATATGACAGCCCGAGATAGAAAATATGTATTATGCACATTCTTATTAAATTTTCTTAGAGAAACTAGTCAATGTATCGTACTTTAAATCATCACCTTGGGTAAATCTCTTGTAAAAGCTCCATGTGTTCGCCATAGAATGAAATGATAACAGTTCTTATGGGTCATCATCTATTCGTCAATATTCATTAAACGTGGATCATTTTAACAATTGAGATATTCTTAAAACCATCATCTGACACATCCTCCTGCAATAATTGGTTCGCAGTAATTTACCAAGCTAACCGAATTCCTACTTCCTGCCAATGACCTATCAACATAGCTCAGCCTAACACTCAGCCTAACCTAAAACCCATTTGCCAGTCTAACCATAATCTATAAGGCCCAGAGCTATTGTCGGACCACCTCCCAAAATGTCCCCTTTCTAAATGGACAATGTAATTTTAAGAGTATCGTTTAAAGTGGACTTACATCTAGGACCGAAAGATGTCTCTAAGTACTGGCAAATCTCTTGTACATCATCGAATCCCGTGTAAAATGGAATGGAATACTGTTCTAAATCATCGAGAGTAATCTCATCTGAAGTATCAGTGATAACAGTCAGAGTACTGTCGATTAGAGAAACGCATTTTTCCTGAGTCGTCAGAACATTCACTATACTTTCAACCAATGATCTTGCGGAAGCATACACGGCGTCTTCACCGAGTAGAGTCGCAGTGCGGATAGAAAGACAAAGCGTTTCCCTGTCGGGATAGTCAGTCAAAAGCGCAATGAGGGCAGGTATTTCGTCCACCATGACTCCAACATCGAAGCTGTAGAAGTAGCTGCTGGACTCTGAAAGAATGGTTTCGACAATGTCGTCCCAATTTGTGCAGATCTCATTAGCTACTGGGTAGAGGTCTGCCAATAGTTCGGCCATGAAATCTATGGCAATATCACGTGGTGCGTATTCTCTGCTAGTCAGGTGACCCACAGCTGAGCATACAGTGTCCTCGTCGTATGAGGTAATGTTCAGCACGTTTTCGACAGCTTGGGTCAGGAGAGTGACGATGTCTAAGTTTTGAAAGGCATCGACACCTAAAGGAGGGCTTTCTGAAAAGGATAGGTACTCAATGGGAAATATGCAAATGAATGGAGCGATGGATGAAAAAGAGATCGGATAATCAGTGGACAATCCTCCAGGTGTCCGAGGAGTTTCGGTGCTTGGTGTATAGGGAGTGCTGGTATCAGGTGTGTAGGGAGCTCCGGTGTAAGGTCTGGGCATTGCAAATGAGTAGACGAATCTACATATTTGCTCGCCGTCTAGGTCAGTTCCATCGGACAAAGCTGTCAGCACAGGGTCGCACACACCACGGAAGACACCAGGGCCTGGTGCCGGCTGCCGTGGCGCTACCAATCGGCAGAAGTAGCCCATGCCTTGGACCAGGCTGTCAGAATCCCATACGGCTCCGACAGCATCCATGAGGTTTGCTATAGTGAGGAAAGGAGAGACCTCCCCAGGAACCCGAGGGTTGTTTATATTCATGAATAGTTGGTAGTAAGGGTTTATACATTGATACGCAGCGTCCCAATCAATGGTTGGTCCAACCGGGAGAGGGCAAGGTGTGAGTTCTCCTGTAAAAATAAAGAACAGATAAACAATCAATTGAAATTTAATTTGGTCAAGTATTATGAGCTTCCATGTACGCAAGAATTTGGGTAGATATGTATCTTTAACACAAAATATTTAAACACTGAACAAAAACAATTCATCATGAACATTGCAAGAAAGTCAGTCCATCGACGGCGACCGTTTATTTGGTTTAATTTCAGTATTTAAGCGACATTACCTCTCTCCATGCACCCAGGTTCTTAATTGGTATCCAGTAAATTTCAAAAAGTCAGTGTGATTGCATTAGCATGCGTTCGTTCGCAAGAAGTGGTTTAGGTGTCACTGAGCACTCGGGCATTACGGAGTTAAGTCTATGTTTCACTAGCCATTGACTTCAATGGGGTGTTGGTGGAATTAAGTATTTGTGTTTCCTGGAAAGCCCGCATTTTCTGAACATTTTTATATGAAATACTCATTTTAGCAAAATATGGAGTTACGTCTTTGTATCTCTAAACCCTCTACACTTACTTCTGCATACGACGCCAGCGTGACTGTAGCTCCGGCAGTTACCATAGCCTGCCTCAGTATGCGGGCACGACAAGAGATTGTCCTCCGACCCGGTGCACTCGACTTGGTTGAGGATCCCTGGGAGATCGGTGTATCCATACTGTGAACAACACCGGGATGCAATCGCTGCATCAAACCCTAGCTGTCGGCAAACCACGTCGGCTTCTTCAATACCGAAGATATAATCGCAAACTGCAAACCATGAGCCATTGTAGGAGATCTCTACACGACCTTCCAGTTCTGTTGGTCCATCAGCCAGACGTACGTTGCCATCAGCGACTGGCGGTTGGGAGACATCTTCCAAATTGAACGTTGGTATCGCTGTAAAAGAGAGATCAGTATCGTATACTAGTAATCAGTGTAAATATAACGCAAGTATTGCTAATTATGACCAATGTTGACCAATTTCTTAGAATAAGTTCCAATTAAATTATATTACGTTATAAAATATAAACAAGACTATACCAATGTTATAACTTCCGGAGCCTATGACATGCATGCGTTGCTTTCTCTTTAGGCTCCATCATATTTCTCCCTATATTTAACTTAGTCGTATATATTATTCTCTTCGTTTGTATGAATATTTGTTTAACCAAACATGTATGACATGTCAAATGTAATAATGTATTGAAATATGAAAAAAAGCTTAAAGTGAACTAAACTAAACGGAATGTTTCACCCTTTATCTATCGCTCTCTCTCTCTCTCTCTCCCGTTCTGCGGAAAAGGCTCTTTGGTTACCATATTTTTTGCGGCATGTCCGAGGGGAGGGGAGTAGTTGTCCGGGGGTAGTTGTCCGGGAGTAGTTGTCCTAGGGGGTAGTTGTCCTAGGGGATAGTCATCCTGGAGGGTGGTCGCTCTAGGGGGTAGTTGTCCTAGGGGGTGGTTTTCATAGTGGGTATTTGACTGGGGGGTGGTTATCCGGGGTTGGATGTTCAGGGGGGTTGGTGTCCGTATACGTTGGCTTAGAGATATTCTACGGCTGGTAGAAAGATGATTTTGGAATGCAGATGTAATGGTTGATATAGTCTATAATGTATAATTTAGTTTTGTGGGACATATATTGATATTTTTACTAATACTTTTTGGCAATCTCATCCATCTCGTATACCGCTCTACACATTCGTCATCATGTTCATTACTCAACACACTGTGAATCGGTGTTTATTTACGTCGGTAAAGGACAATTTCTTAACCAATTGCAATAAAAACAACCCGACGCAAGATTCATTCATTTGAATAAAGATGCGGTACCTGTTAATACAAGGGATTAGAACCAACACTAGCTATTAGGCGAAAGCTCGGTAGTCTAGTGGATAGGACAACTGTCTAGAGATCAGGAGGTCGTAAGTTCGAATGGTAAGGACTCGTAAATTTACTCGTAACTATGCGTAACAACACGTAAACAGCTCGTAACAAACACGTTAGTTCCTCGTAGTTATACGTGACAGCTCGTAACAAATCGTGGACTGTTGCCGTAAATACATCGTAATAACTCGTAATAATCCGTAATAAACCGCAAACAGCTCGTAATAACTCTTAAACCGGTCGTGAAAGTGGCCAAGTGGTAAGGATCCGTGAAAGATACGTGAATTTCTGCAATCCGTTAGGACTCGTAAGAAAAATCCGTGTATATGAAGGGGGTATAATTTGAATAATACGGGTAACATGAATATTAACTTCAAGAAATTCATTTCATTCTTTTAAATTATTAAAGTTCTAAATTATTTTCAATACTTGATAATATTAATATTTCGTATGCCTAAATATTTATTTATATAACTATAAACAAAAAATGTTGATTGGAAATATACTTCTTTTTTTTTTTTTTTTTAAATATGTGTATGTTATGATATGTGTTATCTTATAATTGTAAATGTAATGTTATTGTACACGGACTTGCGGAAGAACAGCCGTTGGCTGAAGTGGGTGCCGTGCAAAAATGAAATAAACTTAATTTAACTGAATGAATCATGTGCCCACAACTGATAAAAGCAAATTATGTTGTATGTAGCCTAAACGAGCAAAGGTAGGGGAGGGGGGGGGGGGGGATAAATCCAATTTAAGAAGATATTTCAAGAAAAGAATTGTTTAAAGGTATCGACCATTTTTGGAAACGCCCCCCTCTAAAAAAAATGAAATGGAAGCTTGTATTACCAATCATGTGAAAGAATATGTTTTGACTTATACGTGATAATACAAATTTTGCCGGGAAATCGCATACTAATTCATTTTCATATTCAAATTCATATTTATTTCATTTCCAACAGAAAGGTAAACAAAGATATTACATTTTTTCCATATATAATTCTTATTTTTCTGGAAACTATACGAAATACACTTTGCACATAATGAAATTATTGCAATAAATTCTTAATTTCTGAGGAAATGGGGGATCAACTAAAAAAAAAAAGGGGGAAAAAGGAAGAAGGAAAAGGGAAAGGGGGAAAAGAAAGAAGGAAAAGGGAATGAAGAAAAAGGAAGAAGGAAAAGGGAAAGGGGGAAAAAGGAAGAAGGAAAAGGGAAAGGGGGAAAAAGGAAGAAGGAAAAGGGAAAGGGGAAAAAGGAAGAAGGAAAAGGGAATGAAGAAAAAGGAAAAAGGAAAAGGAAAAGGGGGGAAAAGGAAGAAGGAAAAGGGAAAGGGGAAAAAGGAAGAAGGAAAAGGGAAAGGGGGAAAAAGGAAGAAGGAAAAGGGAAAGGAGAAAAAGGAAGAAGGAAAAGGGAAAGGGGGAAAAAGGAAGAAGGAAAAGGGAAAGGGGGAAAAAGGAAGAAGGAAAAGGGAAAGGGGGAAAAAGGAAAAAGGAAAAGGGAAAGGAGAAAAAGGAAGAAGGAAAAGGGAAAGGGGGAAAAGGAAGAAGGAAAAGGGAAAGGGGGAAAAAGGAAGAAGGAAAAGGGAAAGGGGGAAAAAGGAAAAAGGAAAAGGGAAAGGAGAAAAAGGAAGAAGGAAGAAGGAAAAGGGAAAGGGGAAAAAGGAAGAAGGAAAAGGGAAAGGGGGAAAAAGGAAGAAGGAAAAGGGAAAGGGGGAAAAAGGAGGAAGGAAAAGGGAAAGGGGAAAAAGGAAGAAGGAAAAGGGAAAGGGGGAAGAAGGAAAAGGGAATGGAGAAAAAGGAAGAAGGAAAAGGGAAAGGGGGAAAAGGAAGAAGGAAAAAGCAGGACAAATCATGACCGAACAAAAGGTAGTTATAATGGTAATTTTAGGAAGGTAAGATCATAAGACCAACAAAAATATTAAATTAATCGAGCAGATGATAAAGACCTGAATGAAAAATTAAGATGATTACCAACTGTTATCAGATTATTCTTGTATATTACTATACGATTTGAGACAACAATATTTAAAGATTTTTCTTGAAAGAATTTACGGATGGACTATTTTAATACCTTCACTTAGAGAACTCCAAAATCTAGGACCATCATACATAAAAGACTTCTTTGCTAATAAAGTTTTATATCTGATTTGTTATTGGATAAGTTCATTGCTTTTTTAAAGATCTTCCATGTGTTTTGAATCTCGTTCTTATATAAGGTTAACTGGTTCGTAAAGTAACGTTTTTTGCTAATCGTATCGTTTTAGTTAAAATATTTGTATAACTGGTGTATCTAGCTTTTGCCTGTTCAGTACCTTTCATTTGACATTTATTGTATAATTTTTTTTCCTGTTAAATACAGGTAAAAGGGATTTAGAATTCATGAAAGTCTCCGTGATTTTGTGTAGGTATTGACAATTGATATATTTGATAAATTATTATATCTATCCGGACAGGATAGATATCGCGCACGTGTCGCCTAGTCACATATACATCATTCTGTGTACAGTACTTGTATCTTTACCAAGACTGGGCCAAATTTCTTATCATTTTGATGATTTCAGAACTTTGCAGTACACACCAATACTTTTATGCTAGATGATCAACCTTTTCTCATCGATTCCACGACGTTCCTTTCACAATGCAATCGCATGACCAGAACTGGTCTCTACCTTTAGCACACAAGTTTTTGAAAGTGATTTAGATGACCTATTTTTTTAAATTTAAATTTAATTTTTTTTGGAGCGGTGGGGGGGGGGGGGGGGGGAGATAAATCAAGGCGATTGAAGTCGCGCAAACCCTAATTGCTACTCTGTAAATTTACATGTGTATATAGCAGTTTTCATTTTTCATTTTCAAAATTTGTCCGGTCAGTAAATATTCCAGACCAAGGAAACGATGTGTGGAAATAATTTTGCATTTATTGATACTTTTTTTTTTTTAAAGAAGACCAGAGTCATTAAAGCTAATAACTTTGATGAAAAGCCTCAATTATAATTTTGTTATTGTCTTGTGATATGCATTTACACTCGTGATTCAAATTCTTTTTCCCACGATTTTGTTGCAAGTTTGATTAAAACACGCATATCAGCAATACAAAACTACTTTTGTCCTTACCCGAGTATTTTGCAAGGGCTGCTTAATATTCATGTTGGCTTAGCATGTGCCTAATTCAACGTATATCCACCTTTTTTAACACCTCAAATTTACTGCACGTTTATCACGGTACTTTTGCTCAAAGCATAAGATATGACTATTGTCCGGTTGCCTTAAAACATATTATTTACAATTGGCTGTTGTTGTTTTCTTTATTTCCATCTTCAAACACTTCGACGAGCAGTTAACATAGTCCAAAATCATAGTCCGAAAATGTATTTAGGCTATAAGAGAATATCAAGTTGCCCCTATTGCCATCACTTTGAAATGTCCGGTATGCGGAATGCAAGCTGTGATTTTTCATATGCGTAAGTTTAAAATATAGTGATACACACTCCAACATCAGCCTACATTGGAAAAGACTCATTTTCTTCCTTACCCTTATTTTTTTTAACTCGGCTGCAGAAAAGAATATTGATAAAAACTGCAGAGACGATATTAGATCTTTTCACGTGGAGGGAAAATTTCCTATTGTTTTCCAGTTTCATTTCTAACAAGTCACAGCAGAAAAGGGGATCATCACTTTTGTTTTGTCCAAAATCGTGTTACAAGCAAGATTAAGGGTCGGTTTTGGGTAATTTTTCTAGGGGATTTAATCAAATACCATCGATTAGAAATGATGGCCTACTGTATAAATCTAATAAGGAGGGGTAGGTACCCCGTCCGCATGGATTTTCCAACATATCTGTCACAATGAAATGTGTGACTAAACGAACTGATACATCTATTCATGACTATTGCAAAGCGACCCAACTTGCCAAGTCAAAAGGCAGCTCGAATCTACGTAATGTATTGAAGTATAATTCCGACATTGCAGGATTTTCATAAAACAAAAACACACAAAGCAAAACAAATTAAATAAATAGTAGTATACGTAACCGTCCAAATGGATTTACATAGGACAGAAAACAACATTGATACAAGCAAAACAAAAACGCAATACAAGATGTTAACTATACATAAATCCTAGAAAAGGCAAAGGCAAACTATATCAAAAACAAAATTGTACAATTCATATCGAATTATACTCGTCAAAAAATTAATTTTCCAATTAAAATCATAAAAACATAATGGGATTATTGATTGAATGGCAGTAAAAAGTAAAAAGAGAGCATAAAAAAGTGAAAAACAAAACCGTACAAAGATATCGTCGAGCACATCTTTCCAAAACTAAATTAGCGCATATATTGATACATGCATAATTCAACTTTATAATTGTTTTCTTCTCCTACATGGAAATGTCTGTTACCGTATGCCGCTGGAGTAGCACAACATTGTGGCTACAACATCCAACGAATAGCGATAACGAAAAGAAAAAAACATCATCAAATCATAAATAAACGAATCTAATCAAAGACCGACATGGAGCAGAAATAACTTTGTACATGCATGCTTATGTCCATGTCTAACATGTCTTAATCCATGCGTAATGGGGATAGTTATGTGTCTTACCGCCTTCGGGTGAAGAAGCCCAACATGAGGCTACAAGAGCCACCAGGAGGGCGCTCAAAAGAGGGACCATCATGGTCTATCTGGTCCGCAAAACCAACTTCAAAAAGATCGACAGCAAATAAAGTTGTAATATCGGAGCTATTTCTTGGTCCCTGGTCCTTACTTGGCAGAGAGCAAAGCCGGAATGATCTAACGCGAATTTTTTTTTGAGGATATACTTCTAAATTTGGTACCAGTATTATTTGCCAAGCATCATGCATGGTGCGTCTTCCTATTGGATAACTCACTAGCCAATCATATTACTTTCCTCGTCTAGACAATACTCAGACAGGGAAAGACCATGATATTAACACATTGTCTATAGGAAACGGGTGAGTCGTATATTAAGCCTATGGGAGCGAGAGAACTGAGTTGTCAATGGAATGATAATATGAGAAGGTATTTTTTACAAGGGCAGTCTTACATGGATTGGTGCCGGGTGCTCAAATGCAGGTCCTCACTCAATAGATACCATAGATTTAAATTACACAAGTATATTTCTGTAAAAGAGCATAGCGGTTTGAACAACTGACGGGAGATGGGATACTCTGATAGCCCTAAATAAAGTAAGCCATAAATACAAAATTGCCATTCTGTGCCCAGAAAAAAGGTGGTCAGTTAAAAATGGATATCCATGATTAAAAAAAATTGCCATACGCTCGCATAATACCATATTTATGGTAATTTATATAAAAGACACTTTCGGCTCCACAAAAGGCTACCTCCACTTTCATCAAAATGTATTATTATTTGTATTATCATATTATCACTATAAACATTTTTTTCATTAGTAGTTTTACTGTCAATATTATTATTATTATTGTTGTTGATATAGGTATTGCTATTATCATTATTATTACTATCATTATCATTATTGTTATAATGAATTGATTTCTGCAAAACATACAAATCAAATTATTTTTTCAACGATACAACAAATACAAAATATTACAATTAAGAAAAATGGAAACACAACATAATAATAATAATAGAAATGTTGACATTAAATCGAAATGTAATATCCAGAATAATTAATTAACAAATCTGAATAAGATGAGGGGCGATCACAATAAGCGTTTGCTTGATAGCTTGATTACTATTGCTCTTAGTAGTCCTTTCATTATTATTATTATTATTACTATTAATATGATCATCATAATCATCATTATAATTACCGATGTTATGTTGAAACTTACAGTAGGTACACATGCGGTAATCCATTCGGCCCATTTTCCCCTTCACAAACATTCCCTCACGTATACATACCCGCATTTTCTCGCCGGAAAATTGAAAGACTTCTTAACCTTGATCAAGTTTGTTATTGTATCCTACGGAGCAGAATATTAAACCACTCCCATTCTCAAAAAGGGTGTTAATTGGTTTCATTTTCCCACCAAGTGTTCAGATGATCAGCTCTTGGCTGAAGATCGGGTGGGATAAGGGTCTAGTGATGGCCATCAATTTGGTGTCGCTTTCTTATTGTTTTGTGCATTCAGGTCAAGTCCGGATACGGTATAGTAAAACTTTTAGAGTTCAAATTTACTTGAACCTCTCTATAATAAGAGGTTGAAACAATATTATAGCAAAAAATAATAGACCGGGAGTATTGGGGTCGAGGGGTTTAAGGCGCTTGACTGGAGATGCGAAGGTCGAGGGTTCAAATCCCGACACAGCACTATAATAATAATAATAATAATAAATTATATTTCTATAGCGCATTATACAAGGTATGTCTCTATGCGCTTTACATTATATTACAAGCTTAATTAATTACATACATCTACCATTGAACTATCCTCAAACAAAAATTCTGACAAGATCTTAACTAAAATAGTATAACAGTAACTAGATAGTTAGTTAATATCGTTTGGCAAAATATTTACCTGCACTTGCTACTCTCCACCCAGGTGTTAAATCGGTCCCCGGTTGGGTGCGGCCGTCATGGTTGGTCAAACAGTTCAAGTAATGCCTGGCTAGAATGCTCCCCAGGGAGTGGAGATTGTGCACACAGTGGGTGCGGGCAAGTATTGAATCCAATGACCGGGATAATAGTATATCAGCTATATTAAAGCTGAATTACAATAATAATAATTATTATTATTATTGTTTGGCTTCTGTAGGCGTATAAAGCCTCGTTTATTTTGTTGATATAATAATAATAATAATAATAATAATAGCCTAATAAGTCCACTCCAAATTTTATTAAACCGAAACGGAAATTCTTTTTGCCCAATTGATCGTGAGCCCGGCAGCCACTGAGCAGCGCCAGATCGACGTTGCTCTATCCCATATTGTTGAACGCCAAACCAGGTAGCAACAACTCCGCTTTATTTGTCTGTTTCTTATCACACAGAGCTAAGCAATACACGTATGACCTTGATTGCGTGCAGTTGACTAACAATGGAAATATGAAACCAAGAACAGATGAGAAAATCGATCGTCCCCCACAACAACAATTGGCCCTTCGAACGCCCTCATTTTCGAAATAACAGAAGTAAGAGCTAATTATTGTTAACCACACTATCGTGTACTCATCTAAGTTATTCATCCCCTTATCAAGTTTTGTAATTGTTTATGCGAAAAGTTGATTTGTCCACATTTATGTTCCTTGAAAATGTGGCATATGAAATCTTACATCTAAAAGTGTTGAACAAAGGCGCTCACTCAACCAGTGCACCTTATATTCATGAGTTACACAAGACACAAAAAACATCAAACTTAAAACAAAGAGAATGAGGAATTCAGTTGTTTGATGTATATGTACAGTGCATATGCGGCTCTAAGCAAAAATAAGCCAGTGTCTTAAAATTGTGATGATTCCGAGACCTCACAGTTTACACCAATACCTTTGTGCCACGTGATCAAACTTTCAAATCGCTTCATTACAGTTTATTTCACATTGCACGCATTAACATGACCAGAACTCAACTTCATCTTTGAACAAACTGGAATTTACTTTTCCGGTTTGTATCTCATGAGGTTTATCATCATTTGATTTGATTCGAACTGTTCAAAAATTGATTTCAAAATATTTCCAAAATAGCAGCCAAAGGTTTAAACAAATTGAATTTACGACAGATTACAAATGACATTAAGAATACAATGCATTACAAATTTGTTAGACGAAATGTAATCTAATAGCTTTAAAAGAAACATTTTCATCCATATAAAAAAATTATAGTTAGGAGTCTTGACAGGGTTTGAGACTCTCCCTCAGCCTGTGGTGAGCGTCTGTGACCCTCTTGGGGCGGATATCGGTTTGGGGTTGAAGGAAAAGATATGGGAGGGCGATTATATCGACCTCGTTTTGTTGCAGAAGCAAATCATTTCCAGTAGGCCTAACGATTGTAGCCATACTACTGGAACCACCTCCTTGATCTAGGCGAGTCAATGGCTTTACTATTGTCCCTTTTCCTCGGTGCGGGTTCGACACCATCACACATACTACTTCACGTGGGGAAAAGTGATATCGAGACAGAGAGCAAGAGCGACTTTTCAAGGAAGCTGAAACGTATCTTTGCATTCGCGAGCGGCCACGGGTCCAACATTATATGGTAGGACATTTTACCTCAGCTGCGCTACAAGGAGATTAACGATGAACAGCAGGGCTTCGTCAACCGCAAGTGGCGAACATTGAATAAGTACGACAGGTCCCTAGCTAGGAGGTTCAACGGTAGCTATATAGAGTACCCTTACCTCGCAATACTTTTTTTCGTCCCGATGGGATACATCTTTCGGAGGCCGGGACATCCTTTTTTTTATCCGAGACATGGCAAAGGGGCTTAGAAATACATTTAAGTAGGGTCTAGTGATGGCCATCAACTTGGTGTCGCTTTCTTATTGTTTTGTGCATTCAGGTCAAGTCCGGATACGGTATAGTAAAACTTTTAGAGTTCAAATTTACGTGCCCCTCTCTATAATAAGAGGTTTAAACAATATTATAGCAAAACATAATAGACCAGGAGATGCGAAGGTCGAGAGTTCAAATCCCGACACAGCACTATAATATCGTTTGGCAAGATATTTACCTGCACTTGCTAATCTCCACCCAGGTGTTAAATGGGTCCCCGGTTGGGTGCGGCCGTCATGGTTGGTCAAACAGTTCAAGTAATGCCTGGGTGGAATGCTCCCCAGGGAGTGGAGATTGTGCACACAGTGTTTGCGGGCGAGTATTGAATCCAATGACCGGGGCAATAGTATATCTGTAAAGCGCTTAGAGACGTCAAAGATGTATTTAGCGCAATATTAAAGCGGAATTATTAGGTGGTCTGTCGATGACAGATCACCTATTGATTTCGTTAGAATTTTCTTTCTTTATTCTTTATTCTTTATTCTTTATTCTTTCTTTATTTATTTTTATTTATTCCGTACACTTTTTTTGTGTATACGTTTACTCGAACTCGACCTGGTCAATTTCCTTCAAATTTCTGCTAGTCATCAGGCCCTATGATATGAAGTTCCCGAAACCTTTTTCAAGTTCATGGGGTCATCGTGACGTCATCCAGGCGCCATTTTGTAAAAATCAGGTCATTATCATATCTCAATAACGAGTAATCAAAAATAAACCATATTTAGTATACATCAACTTCCGGTCAAAGGTCAACTAAAAATGTCAACAAAATCCGTGCGCGCACCTCGACGCGCACGTACGCCCGCTTAAAATTTTTAAAATGCTCCAATTCGTCCCAAATTTTGTTTGCACACGTTTCAGGTCATTTTAAGCATTTCAAAATTTTCCGTCCGTAAGTGTCCCCGCGCGTGTTGCGCGCGCTCACAGCGCGCGTAAAAAGTCAAATTTAATTTTTTTTACATGATTTAGATTCCTCTTACCGTAAATGACAATTTACATTAATTTCAGTCACTCTTGACCTTTCATAAGGCCGTGAGCGCGCGTCAAAGTTCAAAATCCGCGCGTGCTGCTATGGGCAATATAATGCAAATTTGATCAAAAACATGCCATTTTAAAAATCAAAATAGCTCTTCAGATAGTCCATTGACCCCCAATTTTTATATCATGGTTGGAAAAAGCATGAGTTGGAGATATGAATTCATGTCTCATTTGATCCTCAATTAACTCATGACGTCATCATAATGGCCTCCGAACTCAAAATTTCAATTTGCATAT